AAAGACCTGGTGATCTGCTCCTGTAAAGACTATAGCCTAGAAAACTGTATGGGGCAATTTTACTCTCTCATACAGGGTTGCTAAGAGGAGAAAATCAACTCGCTGGCACCTAATAACAGCAACATCCATGCATTAATTAGCACATAGAAATAGTGATGATATTTAACAACAATAAAAATAATAGTTTATACTTGAGCATTTCCTACATTCCAGGCCCTGTGCTAAGCACCATAACCAAATGAAGTAGATCATCTCTCCCATCTATAAGGAAACAGACTAAACCAGCCAGTTAAGCCAGGATTTGAAAGGGTGGGACTGAAGAGGGGAACATAATTACCACCCACCATGTTCTAGCACAGCTGTTCTCACAATTTTTGTACTTAGGACCACTTTACGCTCTTAAAAATGCAACAGAGCTCATGGCAGGGGGTGGGTCTTAAAGATTATGGAGAATCTCTCCAAAAAGTTTTATATAGTTTATATTTATCCATGGCATCCTGGTGGCTCAGTGATTAAGAGCTAGACTGCTAGCCAAAAGGTCCACAGTTCAAATCTACCAGCTGCTCCTTGGAAATCACCCATAGTCACTCTATTAGAAATTAAAACTGAGGATTAAAAAGAGTATTCATTATTTCATTTAAACATCAATTTGCATTAACATAAATAACATATTTTTTATGAAAAATATATTTTCCAAAATGAAAAAATTAGCAAAAAGAGTGGATTTGTCACTTTAATGTATGGCTTACCTTTATATCTTTAATGCTTTGTTCAATAGAAAACAGCTGTACACTCACATTTGCTTCTACGTTCAATCTGTTGCAAAACATATGATGTAGTCCATGGAAAACTTCACTGTACACTGGTGAGAAATTCAAGCCAGATTCAGAAGAGGATGTGGAACGAGGGATATCATTGCTAATGTCAGATGGATCCTGGCTGAAAACAGAGAATACCAGTAAGATGTTTATCTGTTTTTTTTATTGACTATGCAAAAGCATTCGACTGTGTGAATCATAAGAAACTATGGGTAACATTAGGAAGAATGGGAATTCCAAAACACTTAATTGTGCTCTTAAGAAACCTGTACATAGACCAAGAGGCAGTCTTTTGAACAGAACAAGGGGGTACAGCCTGGTTTAAAATCAGGAAAACTGTGTGTCAGGGTTGTTCCCTTCACCATACTTATTCAATCTGCATGCTGAGCAAATAATCAGAGAAACTGGAGTATATGAAGAAGAATGAGGAATCAGGATTGGAGGAAGCCTATGATATGCAGATGACACAACCTTGCTTGCTGAAAGTTAAGAGGACTTGAAGCACTTATTGATGAAGATCGAAGACTACAGCCTTCAGTATGGATTATACCTTAACATAAAGAAAACAAAACTGGACCAAAAACAAAAACACAACTGGACCAATAAGCAACATCATGATACACAGAGAAAAGATTGAAGTTGTCAAGGATTTCGTTTTTCTTGGATCCACGGTCAACTCCCATGGAAGCAGCAGTCAAAAAAAAATCAAACGAAGTATTGCATTGGGCAGACGTGCGGCAAAAGGCCTCTCTAAAGGGTTAAAAAGCAAATATGTCACTTTAAGGACTACGGTGCCGTGCCGGACCCAAGCCATGGGGTTTTCAATTGCCTCATATACATGTGAAAGCTGGACAATGAACGGAGAAGACTGAAGAACTGATGCCTTTCAATTACAGCGATGGTGAAGAATATTCACTATACCTTGAACTGCTAGAAGAACGAACAAATCTGTCTTGGAAGAAGTACAGCCAGAATGCTCCTTAGAATCAAGGATGGCTGGACTTCATCTCACATACTTTGGACATGTTATCAGGAGGGATTAGTCCCTGGAGAAGGGCATTATGCTTGGTAAAATAGAGGGTCAGTGAAAAACAGGAAGACCCTCCACGAGACGGATTGACACAATGGCTGCAACGATGGTCTCAAGCATAACAACAATTATGGGGATAGTGCAGGAGCCGGCAGTGTTTCGTTCTGTTGTACATAGGGTAGCTATGGGTCGGAATCAACTCGACGGCACCTAACAACAACACTGGTGAGAGAATGAGAGCGACAAAGGCAAATCACTTCTTAATATGAGTATGAACACTGTTTTGCCTTTGGAGACC